GATGAACTTTACTGTATTTATCAACTCCATCCTTACACAGGAGAGAAAAAGGAAGATGCCCAACATAAACCAGTAAAGAGAAATGTGGCCTGGTGTGCTTCTGGCTGGGCCGTCCCTCGCCCAGACTCGGGCTGGGAATGTTCTGGGGCTGGCCTAGCCTCTCCCTGCACCTCCAACCCCCTGAACTCACCACACAGCTCTGCAGCATGGCTCTGCAGGACACCCTGTGTGCAGGGCTGAGATGCTACCTGTGGGACCTGAGTCCATCCTGGAGGCCAGCAGTGAGGGCTCAGGACAGGCCTAGCACTGGGGGCTGGCATGCTATCATCAGGGAGGGTCCGGCCACTGTCGTGGGAGGGGGGAGGTCACTCATGGGAGAGAGGTGGTGACTGCCATGGGGGAGGGGTGGTCATTGTGGGGGAGGGGTGGTGACTGTCATGGGGGAGGAGGTGGTGACTGTCATGGGGGGGCGGTGAGTATAATGGGGGAGGGGGATGGTCATTGTGGGGGAAGGGGTGGTGACTCTCATGGGAGAGGGGGTGGTCATTGGGGAGGGGGTGGTCACTGCCGTGGGGGAGGAGTGGTGACGCATGGAGGAGGGGTGGTCACTGTCATGGGGGTGGTCACTGTCGTGGGGGAGGGGTGGTGACTATCGGGGGAGGGGTGGTCACTGTCATGAGGGAGGGACGTGGTGACTGTCATGAGGGAGGGACGTGGTGACTGTCATGGGGTACGGGGTGGTCATGGGGGAGGGAGGTGGTCATTGTCATGGGGGAGGGGGTGGTCACTGTCATGGGGGAGGGGTGGTGACTCATGGGGGAGGGATGGTCACTGTCATGGAGGAGGGACGTGGTCACTGTCATAGGGGAGGGAGGTGGTCACTGTCATGGGGGAGGGACATGGTCACTGTCATGGGGGAGGGAGGTGGTCACTGTGGGGGAAGGGCAGTCACTGTCGTTGCAGGCACTGACCAGTTTGACACGTTGGTTCCACAAGTACCGGCAAGTTGCTGTGGAGCCCACTACTCCAGGCTCTGGGTACGGGGCCGACCCCAGGCAGGCAAGGGCCGCTCACTGTCTGTCGGGGCAGGGACCAACCAGAGACTCCCGGTGGGAGGCGGACAGGGAGCTAGGGCAGTCGAGGGCAGTGCGGAGGGTCTCCCTGAGGAGGGCACGCCATGGAAGCGGCAATGCTCATGGAAGCGGCAATGCTCAGATCGGGGCAGGGTGCTCAGGGGCACATGGAAGCCAGCAGGGGTCCTCAGGGTGGGTTTTGGCGGTCCCGACAGGCTCCCCAGGATGGGGCAGGACACCCTAACTCAGAATCCGATGGCACCAGGCCTGGGGGGGCCACAGTGCCAAGGTCACTGCCCAGAACTGAGGCTGGCCCACTCTCCACTGTCTCCTGCCCAGTCACTTCCGGGCCTCTCAAGCCAGCCACACGGCACCCTGCAGGTCCTCTGACGGGCTGTCACCTCCATAGGGCCTGCGGACGCCCCACAGGGCTTGCTACACTCTGCCTACGCCATCCCAGCTGGCTACACTCTGCCTACAGCCACACGGGCTGTCCCAGCTGGCAAGTCCCTGAGGACAGAGAGCGTCCTTCCACCTGCCCACTTCACAGATGAAACAACCAAGGCCAATCGGAGTTCAAGGTCACCCAGCCAGTGAGTGGACACAGGCCTAAAGCCCGGACAGCATGTCCCCAGCCTGGCCCTTTGTTTTGTCCCAAGGACAATGCTGGGAGGAGGACAAAGGAAACGGATGCTGGGCGGGGCCATCTGTCCCAGTGGACAGGAGCCCCCAACACGACCCCGATCTGCACCCTGCCTGACAGGAGCCGTGGACACTCAAGGAAACCAGGAGCAAGGCGGAGGGTGGGCACCAGGAATGGCGCAACACTGGCCCACTGCTATGACACTGCTTCCCCTCCCTGGGCCTCAGCTGCCCGACGTGTTCACAACCCCACTAGCCACCTAGTCATTGAGGGTTGGCCACGAAGGGGGCTCTCCCTCAGACCCCAAGTCTGCCCTAGGGGACTTCTGAACCTATAATATCTTGCAAATCCCAAAGCCCCCAGTGAATGTGGGAGGAGAGTTGAGGGAACGAGGGTGCCAGCTTCCACAGGAAAGGGCTGCAGCCAGCCGAGGTGCATAACACAGTTCCACAAAACTCTGCCGCCCACCCCCCGAGCCCTGTGCAGGCTGCAAAGATGGCCCCAGAACAATCGGGCCTGCAGGGCCTGGCACGTGGGACCTCCGCTGCATCACAGCCTCTCACACATCACGCTGGAGCTCCTGTCACCGGGACCTGCTGCAGACCCGGGGGAGGGCTTCCTAAAGGCTAATGACAATTTGCGTTTTGTTTTTCCCGTTTTCAGAGACCAAAGGTGGGGAGTGATGCAGTGAGACGTGCGGATGCCTTCCAAGAACGACTCCCACCCCGTCACCCTCTGTCCTGCGCCTGCTGTTTGCTGGCACAAGGATCCACATCCGCTGTGTCACCCCCATGCTGCAGACAAAATAACTGAGGCTGGGAGGGCCAGGCTGGCCATGGGGCCTTCCCACTCCGCACCGCTCCTAGACCCCCCTGCTACCCACCCTCCACACAGTGTTGAGCAAAGCCCGGGCCACCTGGGTCCTCTGGTCTAGACACAAGCCCAGGCCCTTGAGTGAATTCAGTTTAGCCCAGAGCACCAGCTTTTCTCCCGCCCTGACCCAGGCCTCTTCATCTCTGAGCTGGACGACTGCAGTGGCCTCCACGTGGGGCGCCCTTGCCCCAGGAAAGGCCGCTGCTCGGCCCACACTCACCACACAGAGCGCCAGAGGGAACCTGGGGCCAGGACTGCTGGATGGACAGGCCCTCACACAGAGGATCGCAGGAGGGGCAGCCAGCCCCAGCCTCCACTCCACTGAACCCCATCCTGGGGTGGCTGCACCAGCACGAGCCCTCACCAGGCCCTGGGAGCAGGACTCCCAGGCCAGGACAGGGAGAAGCCAGCCCCTTGGGTAAAGGCGCCACACGGGAACCCCGAGACCCGTTCCATAGATACTGCGGAGCCAGCGCCAGGAGGCTGGAGGTGGGCCAGTCCCGCTGTGCAGGAGCCACGCCTCTCTCGGGATGCTGCCCTCTAATGGCCTCCTCACGCCCACAGCCCTGTGTGGGGGTTTGGGCTCTCTGGCAGAATGAGCTTCTGTGAGCAGCCTCCACTCCTTGGACTTAATCAACAAGCAGCACCTCCTCTCTCCTCACACCACTCTATGCCCCACAGGGAGGGCTGAGACTGGACCTTCCCAGGAGGATCTGATTCCAGTGCAAAGGGGAAGCAGGTCTATCTGCCTCTCTGGAGGTGAAGCCTTAGGGGTAGTGCTCCTGGAAGAGCTCCTGAGCACCCGTTTCTCTGCTTCTCTGGGAACAGTGGGCCTCGCTGCACCAGCAGAGAGGGATGGAAACCATCTCTGTGCTTCAGGTGGTTCTCTGGAGCATCTCAGCGGCAGCAGCTCATTCAGCCCCAGAGACAAGCCCCCAAAGCAGCCTTCTGCCAGGGCCACAGGCCCAGAGCTGGCGTCTTCCTCTCTGGGGAGCCCAAGGACAGGAAAGGGTGAAGGGGAGGACACCTCACAGAGGTAGCGGTGGCCCCAAACACAGGTCTTGAGAAATGGGCACTCCTCCACCAGGCCAAAGTAGGGGGTTGCCATAGCAGAAGCAGGGAGGTGGGGGCACAGAAGTAAGGGTCAAGGGAGAAGGGGACTGAGCCCCAGCACTGTGGGGTATTCCCTTCCTTTGAGAGTAGATGGCCTGCTTCCTGAAAGAGCAGAACTAGCCACAGGTCCTAACCCAGTGACTTAGCTGACTTACTGCCAGGCCTCCACTCTTCTAGAAGAGTCAGCTCTTAAGCAGACATTTGCTCCGGAAACCCAGCCCCTGGGAGCTTCAGAGTGGGCAGACCCTAGCACCTTCTGCAGATGAGGGGGCCAGAAGAAGAGAAGGATGTTCAAGGTCACACACAGAGGCTCGGATCCCAACAGAGCGTGTCCCCACCACGCTGCCTGACTGATGTGTTCTATGTACACTCAGGCATCAAGGGAGAAGAGGCTCACTCACACATGCACGCACACACGCACGCATACATGCATGCACACACGCATTCACACATGCATGCACTCATACACACATGCACACATTCGCACACATACATGCATGTACACGCACACATACATGCATGCACACACACTCACACATGCATGCACTCATGCATGCACACACAGAGATACATGCACTCATGTGCATCACACGCACTCACATGCATGCACTCACGCACGCACATGCACGAACACGTGCACACACACACGTGCACACATGCAGGCCCAGACTCAGGTGCCTCTTGGGATACTCTGTTTTAGCAACTGTCTCAAGGAGATTAACCATGGGCTAGAAATACATTTGGCAGCAGGTATTATACATGTGTAAACTTTAAAAAAATGAAGAATAAACAGCATCCAATGTCCACACCCTACAGCTGCACCCCGACAGCACATCCCACCACCTGCTGGTAGTACCACCAAATTGCAGGTTCAGTTCTGAGCAATCTATTCAACCTTTCAAAAAAAAGTTACTGGGAACTGCATTAAGCACCAAATCATCTTCATTAGAGCTACACAGCCTCCTGGAAGTCTAACCACACAGCAAAGGAAATGACCATGGTGATTGAGACGCTACCCCAGCATATATCCCGGCTCCTGGCCAGAGGGCTGTGCCCTATTAGGGAAACCCAGGAAGGAGGGGATGGGGATGGGGTTCCCAGACTCCCATCTCTCCCTTATTGGACCAGATGGCCAGAGACAGGTGGTTAGAATGGGCAAGGCCACGGAGGCCTAGCTCCAGGGCCACCAGGCCGAGGGTAAGCAATGGTGCAGCAGGGCTGGCACCTGGGCTCCCCTAGTCCCTGGCCTCCACATGTGCAGCGTGGAGAGTGAGCACGCTTGCCCACGCCAGCCTCACCTGCATCTGCAGGATGGCCTCCTCTCGCAGTCGGATGGCCTCCAGGTCCTCCTCGGTGATGTCCGGGAGCAGCGCTTGCTCCTGGCCCTGCCACATGTTGTCACTCCCATTAAACATCTTCTCATCATCAGCCAGCTCAGCAAACGGGGCCTGGGGACTCTGCTGATGACAGACAGACCTTGTTAGTGCTGACCCCTCCCACTACTACCACGCCCCAGGCCCAGACCTTGTCAGTACTGACCTCCCCACCCCATTACCAGCACGCCCAGGCCCAGACCTTGTTAGCACTGACACCCCCCATTACCACCACGCCCCAAGGCCAAGTCTTCCCATGGCTCCGAGCAGGCCACTCAGCTCTGTCTCAAGAGGAGATGAGTCACAGATGCTAGGCCCTGGCCTCCCACGCCCCTGGGAGTTGCAGGCCCCCAGAGCTCTGGGCAGCACCGTGCACACTGTGGGGGCAGGAGAGGAGCTGGGGCTACTGTGAGCAATGGGCCAGGGTCACAGGCGAGTGGACACCGGTTCCCAACTTTTGGCACATGCACCCCACTCTGATCATCCCAGGCTTGTCTGCAAGAAGAGTTCGTGAGCCCTATGACCCCCATGCCAAGCCAGGGCTACCCTGTCCTTGGCCAGATAGAGGACACGAGAGCAAAATGTGGCCCCGACCCCAGAGAGCATACAGTCTACCTCGTGTTCCCAGCTTTTGGGGGTCACAGGCCCCTTTGTGGACCCCCAGAAAAGTGCCCCTATGCACATAAACACGAATTCTACCTCTTCATTTTGGGGGCTGTGAGCCCAACGCAGGCCCCATCAAGGAGCCAGTTCCCAAGCCAGGGGCAGAGGCTGCAGTGTGGGGCTCAGAGATGAGGTGGGACTGCAGGCAGGGCACAGATGCACCCGCAAGAACCCACAGGAACCTACCCTCCCGTGATAGCCTTGGGGAGCAAGCCTGAGAGGTTTTTGGAATTTGTTTTCATTCCTTGTTAATTTATTTGCTTCATTTTGAAATTCAACAAAATGGTGCTCTCTGAGGGGACCATCTAGGTCTGAGGTGGGGGCCTTCTACGGCCATGAGCCTGTCACTGGGCATCAATCTGGGCCTCTCTGGCGCCGGTCACCTGGCGCCGGAAAGACTGCAGACGTCAGTCCCTGGTGTCATCAGTCCCCTGCGCCAGGTCCCAAGTGGAGGTGTAGGGGCCTGGGAGCACCTGGCAGAGGGGAGGGTGGGCGGGAAGCAGGAAGGGTCCATGCTGCAGCCGCCACCTCCCGGTGCACACGTTCATACTGAACTGAAAACTCGACAATAGTGGCAATCCCACCCCGCAGCCCTTCCTTCCCCTCCTATCAGGAGGCCGCAGTGCCCCCCACCTGCCCTGCCCATGCCAGTGGGGCTGCCTTCACCTTAGGAAGGTGTGTGTGTGACTGTGAGTGCCTGTGTGATTGTGGGATGTGTGACCATGTGACATTGTGTGTGTGAGAGGGAAAAAGGGAGACGGGAAAAGGCACCGAGAATGAGCAGAGCAGAAAACCGAGGTGGCGGTCTGGTCAGGCCCAGTCTCACCACGAACACCTGCTCCAGTCAGCCACACCCCCGATCTTCCTGGAAACCCTGCAGGGAGGAGACGGGGCCTTCACAACAGCTGAGTATACTGAGGCAGAGCGAGGCGGGGAGCTGGCACCGTACTCAATCAGGGCGAGCCCGTGGGGCTCTGCAGCAGCGCCTCCTCTCACACACATCAAGGTTTGGAGCGCAAGGACAAGGCGACAGCGGTGGGGACGGCTGACAACGAAAAGGGCCACGCTACCTTTACTTGCTCCTCATGCTCCTGAGGCACCATAATGACCCTCCCACTCACCATCCGGGAGACTCAGGGAGTTCACAGCCACCTTAGCCACTCCGCAGCGAACGGGCAATTCAGCAAACCTGGCCAGGCTGCTGCCTCCTGCAGTCCTCAGGAGCAGACCCATGGCGGCCTCAGCCCCGCCCCCAGATCCAGCTTCCCTCAGCTTCACACATGCTGTGCCCACACACACTCCCCGGCACAAATCCCAGGACCACCCTCCCTGCCCAGGCAGGCGCTCTCCCAGCTGACTTGCCCGGCCGCTGGTCTTGGCCCAGTGGGCGTCACCACGTGTTTGGAGAGGAGGATCTGACAGAGGTGGGGACTGTGCCTGTCCTGATGCCTCTGGGCCTTCTGTGGCGGTGAGGCAGGGGGCGTAGTGGCTGGGCCTGGATCGGAGCCCCTGCAGCGACAGGACTCTCAGGATGGGGCCACCCAGCTCACACCAGAGCCTGGGACTCAGTCACAGGCCCCCTCCCTTGCCTGTCCCCCCCCCATGTCTCCCCAGCCCTCTGTGGGGGACACAACCAAGGTCCCCTCCCAGGTCTGGGAAAGGCCCCCGCTAAGTACGGGGTCCCAGCCAGACTGCACCTCCACTCATCAGGGCCCTCAGGCAGTGTGGACAGCTTTGCCAGTTCCTAGCCTCTGAGGGCATAGGGCCCTGCCTAGGTGTCATCCTAGGCATGAGATCTGGGTACAATGTGTGGAACTGACTGGGAATGGGAATCCAGGCTAGACCTGTGGGGTGCAGGCAGCCTCTCTGCTTCCTCTCTCCCCACTGGACTGGCCTCCACCGTGCCTAGGGACAGCACTGTCCACCAAGAGCAGCTGGCCATGCAGGCCAGGAGGCAAGGCATGGTGAAGGATCCTCTGGCAGCGCTAGGCATGGAGGGCAGCAGGGGTACAGCTGCCACCCCAACTCATCCCACTCACGTCCAGAGCTCTTGCCGTGCCCCTCCCGCGTGTGTGGGCATCTGGGGACATGGACTGCAGGGCAGCCTGGCTCACGGGACCAGCTCTGTTGGCTCCCCGTGCTCGGGGACTATAACCTCAGTTGCCCTGCAAGGAAGCTGCAGAGGCTGAGACTTGCTCATCTTCTGCCCTTTCCCAAACTGAAAGCCACCTCACCACGCCGTGCAGCTCAGGGTGGGCATGTGCAGACACCCCGAAGCCAGAGGAAGTGCCGTGAGCGCTCCTGGGGAGGTTTCTCGCGGGGGAGGGGGGGTGCTCACCTCCTCTGGAGCAGTCACTGGCCCCGCCTGGCTTCCCAGCAGGTGCTGCTCCCCAAAACCACCCAGGCTGGGTCACATTTATGTCCAGGGCCCGGTGAAGTGTCCCCACCTCCTGAGGCCCGAGAACCGTCGGGACTGGGGCTGGAGCAGATGCACAGGTGACAACCAAGTACAGAGAGATGGACCCCAGCTGGGCACCGAACCAGTGGATCCACAAACAAGCACTTCATTGTGTTTCTGGCAGAAGCCACCCCAGGTGGGCGCGAGGCTAGGAGGGCTATGCTGGTGCGACTGCATCCAGGACGGGACGGCGGGGTTCCTCACTAGTCCCCACAGTTCTGCCTGACACGGCTGATGACAACAGGAACAACAGCCACAGCACACCCAGAGGGACGCGGCACGAGACTGGAGACAACAGGACCAACAGCCACAGCACCGGCCACCTCTGGAGGGATGCAGCATGAGGTTAGGTGCTACTTCCTTTCTCCCATTTCCTCAGGCCCCTCCAGGGTGGGCATGGCCACCCTCGTCTAAAGGGGCAGCTTGTCCACATCCTGCAGGTGGGACGATGAGGCTGCCCTAGGCAGGTTCTCCTTCGCAAGCCAACTTCATCCCACACACCACCCTGACACGGGTAAAAGCTAGCACAGGCCTTTAAATAAATAAATACGTGGATAGATGAATATAAAATAAAAGATCTAAAAAATCTGTTGACAAGCGCAACTCGTCCAAGGTGGTAATTATCACCTCCCCTTCCTGGAGTGGGCGGGAGGAAGTGAGCAGTGCCTGGCGGTGGGAGCCCAGGGAGGCGCTGGCCTCGCGCCAAGCCCAGCAACCCCAACGCCTCCTTCCTACGGCTCCAGCCCCTAGGCTTCCGGGGTGCTTGCATAAAGAGCCCGGGCTCAGGTTCCGGCCCCAGCACTGGTGCCGGCTGTGAGGCCCCAGGCATGCCACGCACTTCTCTGGGCCTCACTGTCCTCATCTGTAGAATGGCAGCAGTGGCACTCACAGCCCCGTGGTCTATGCCCCTCAAGCTCCACCCACACGGTCTGACCCCTCACGTCTGCAGAGCACAGCAGGCATGCACCTCACTCCACCAGGAGCCCCTGAGCACGAGGCTCTCCTGAGGCACGAGGGCTCAGGAACACTACCCCTCACCTCTTGGGGGCCTGGGGAGGGTCCACAGCTTCCCTGAGCCTCCAGCTTCACTTCCAGGGAATGGAGCTGACCTCACCACGTCCTAGTGTTGCCCAGAGAGCTTGAGGTGAAGCACGTGAGGCTGCAGCGTACAGCAGAGATGCCTCAAGATGCCATACTCTGACTCAGGTGGGAAACCAGGTTGAGTTGTGCTTTTCCCAAGTGCTGTGAGCTACAGGGCAGAGATGCTCCCCCCAGGGGACACGGCCATACACGCCCCTGGAGAGCGGCATGAGGGTTGAGCACAGCCTCCCGCTTGCCAACAGTGACAGGCTCTACAACAGCCCCACTGACTGGGATCCCATGGCCTGGGTAAAGTCAAAGGCCCCAGGTAAACATACTAAACTGTTGAGGTAAGAGGTCCCTGGGGCAGCCCAGCTGCGATGTCTGGGGATGGAGATGCAGGGGCATGCCCTCGGCCCTGACAGCAAACAGCCACAGGCGAGGGGGCCGGAGGAAATGTGGTCCCTCCTACGATGAAATCCTCCAGGCCAGCTAATGCGGGCCAGTGAGATGCCTGGGTGGAGACGGCACCACGGGACGTTCTGTGCGACGTTCCCTGGACTTGGGGGTTTCAATGACAGCTCCCCAAGAGCTGCGGGCAGAGGGTGCTGGGCACCCATGGAGACCTGCCTCGGATCTGTGCCTTGGGATTGCTGCCACCTCCCGCATGTGGAGAAGGGGGAAGCTCGGAAGGATGGGGAGGGTGCAGAGGTGGGAGGGGGGTGCAAACAGGGCTCCATGTGGACGCCCAGGAAGGCAGCCAGGCTGGGATGCGAGCCCCGTGGATGCCCAGGAAGGTAGCAGGGCTACGGTGTGAGCTGTGTGGATACCCAGGAAGATGGCACGGCTGGGGTGCAAGCCGTGTGGATGCCTAGGAACGTGGCAG